TTGTATGCACACGGATTGAGAGAAATTGGCACGAAAATGGATTTAATTGCTCTTAGTGATACACCACTAGATTAAGCTCCGTTTGCACTTTTTCAAGTTTTTTTTAGTTAATTATGATAATTTTTGACATCAAAGCGAAAAAAAAAACTTCACCCCTCCATAAAGTGATAGTTCAAATGGTCAGGTATCATCAAAATTGGCGGGAAATTTGTTCATTAAAAAATCGTGCTGACGCTACGTAAGTAGAGCTTTCAAACTAGCTCAACCACGCTTCCGTCGGAGCTGTACGACCGAAGTTATCGCCGAAATAAAGAGCTGGTATCTATTTTTCGGATCAGAGAAGTACTTCGAAGTATTTGGGGACTCGTGTTAGAACACCGAAATGACAGCGCCATGACAATAGCCTACTTTAAAGCACCATAATCGTACATATCCTATGAATGGGGTAGGTCTATGCTGAGTGTGGGCCACATAAGGAGGGATGACCTAACTATCAAATTACTATTTGAATTGTGGCTTGACAGGGAGGCCTAAAGAAACGGAGCGATCGTGGAGGCGCCAAATAACCTCCTCTAACAGTGCTTAGTGCAGTGGATAGCTCTCATATACGCCTGCCAGGCAAACAGTACAATTATGTTGGGCTCGCAGCAATGAGCAACGAAAATTCCCAGAGCTAACTACACTGTAGTCTACAGCCATTTCTAAGGCAACACAAGTCGACAACTGTACAAGAATGTTGAAGTTCACAACTGGTCACGCATCAGCCTCGGGTTATCAAAGGGGGATTCAATGAGCAGCAACGTGGGGCTTCCAAAAGTGTCGTCTTGGGTACATATAAGGAAGTGCAGGTTCATGATGATTGCACCAAGTTTCTGTTTTTGTATTTTTAAGCTAAGCTCTACATCATTCACTTTTCAGTTTCCCATCTCGCCTCACTTTACCTTCTTCACTTCGTCCTCTTCGACACCTTTCTAACAGGTTATAATGTCAGCGACAACGCCTTCGAGCTTAACGACGAAACTGAAGCAGTTCAGTGGAACCGGGCTCCCAGCGTGGGGTGCTCAGGTGAAGCTAGCTCTTGAGATCAAGGGGCTACGAGATGCAATTCAGTTGCCTAGACCCACCGACCTCGAGCTCAAGGCTGAGCGGGACGCTGCAGTGGCAACAGAAGCTGGAACGTCATTGGCGTCGGGGACGCCATTGCCGTCTGGGATGGTGTCTACTGCGGTGTCGATTACGCCGCTGCACGACTGCTTAATGAAGCAGAAAATTGCATCATCCATCATTCTCGCAGCACTGAGTGAGAAATTGGCTGCTGAAGTTTATCTACTCGATCATCCGCTGGCTATGCCGCGGCACTTGCGCATGACCTACAATGTCAAGTGCAGCGCCAGTGTTGGTGCTGCCAAGCGGGAGTACATTGGGATCTACCTAGATGAGGACGAGTCGATGATCGAGCACATCCAGAACACAAGGCGTGTTCTCGATGAGCTGCAGGAGCAGCATGTATTGATTTCTGACGATGAAAAGCGTCAGAACTTTATGCAGAGGCTTGGACCTGCATGGAATGGCTTCGTTGGTGTGCTTGAATCGTGTGTAACGTTTGAGTGAATGATACAACGCTGCCATGCTGAAGCAATCCGGCGTGATCAACAGAGCAATCGACGCTCAAGCTCTGTGTCTAACAGTGGCAAAGCAGCTGCTGCATTCAGTGCTGAGCAAGCGTCGGGTAAGCAGAAATAATTCAATTCCAAGAAGAAGAGGGATATGACCAAAGTGAAGTGCTTCAATTGTAACAAGATGGGACATTTTTCCCGGAACTGCAAGAGCGCACGAGTGTTACAGTCGGCAGAAGCCTCCAGTATGGCATTTACCGTGGCCGATGTGGCAGAGGAAAACAAGCGGAGTTGGATTGTGGACAATGGCGCCACAAGACAAGAACCCCGGGTGCTGACGGTGGCGTCAGGTGACAAGCTGGTCGCGACGGCAGTCGGAAAGGCACCGCTCTTTAGGAGCGGTCGAGAAGTCTGTGTTTTACAAGATGTTCTCTTTGTCAAGGGCCTAGCAACAAATCTCGTGTCGGTTGCGGCTGCGTCGCGGCGTGGAATGGCAATTGAGTTCAGGGGTACATCATACACGATTTCATTGCCAGATGGAGTGGTAGCTGGCATCACGAAACGACCGGCCAATGTACGTGGTGGAAGCGGTGAGTGAAGCTGCAGAGCACGCTGCATTAATGGCAGCTGATGCACCGCACATTGCGACATGGCACCGCCGACTCGGACATCTCAATACGCACAGTGTGCAGACTTTACTGGAAGGCCTGAAGCTACCGTGGCAAGGGGCTATTGAGCGGTCCTGCCCGACGTGCGTCAGCGGGAAATTGACCCGGAAGCCCTTCGCCAACAAACCAAGACGAGTGCTGAAGAAGAATCAAGTGTTACTGTCAGTTGATTATGTCGATCCGATGCAGGTGACGGCTCGTGATGGATACACTGGAATGACGAATATTGTAGTGGAGCAGTTTCACCTGGAAACGGTAAATCCACTTCGGGAAAAGAGCTCTCGTGTACAGCTAGACGCTGTTAAGGACTGCATCACCAAGCTAAAAGCCTGCGCCCTAAGCTATTGCGTGGTATTCCTCAAATCTGGCAATACTGCTGAATACATTGGTGGCGAGTTTGCTGCGTTCTGCGACGAGCACGAGATTGTGCAGGAGTTCTCAACACCTTACAGCCTCAACAAAATGGCAAGGTGGAGTGCGGAAATCGTGTGATTGTGAGAAAATGGCTCGCTCAATGATGCTGGGAGCAAACCTACCAATGACGTACTGGACTGATGCCGTTGTATGTGCGGCGTATGTTAGGAATAGTAGCCCTACAAAGGTGCTAGACGGAAAAACGCTAATGAAGGCGCTACTCGGCATGCCGCCTGACATCCGTAACTTACGCGCCTTTGGATGCAAGGTCCAGGCCATGATTCTTGAGGAGCACCACAGAAACCTAGACGCCAAGACGCAAAATGGGATATTCGTGGGGTATGCTACAGGTGGCGCTTACCTGGTGCATTTCTCGCATCACGGTACTGGCGAAACAATTACAGCTCAGACAGTAGTCTTCTACGAGAATCAATTTTCTTCCTCCAGCTGACAAGGACGAAGTCATGATCAATACACAGCTGGATACCGTACAGCTTGACTTAGTGGATCGTACCGAGCGGCAATTACGATTGGAGAATATTACTGAGGAGAAAGAAGACGCGGTCGTGACCCCGGCGGAGATCAAGACACCCTATCAGCCTACGGCAGGCTCAGAACCAGTGGGAGCTGCACGACTTTAGGCGCGCTTACAAGGTGATCCGTGCCTGGAGAAAGCAATGTCACCTGTTCACCGATCAACTAGGTTGTCTAAGCCAAGTCAGCGACGTCTTGCCTTCGAAGAAACGCAAATGTCCCTGGGTGAGGTTTGCGCCTACATCGAAGAACACGTGGCACCTGCTGTATATGATGGCACAAATATGGCTGACGGCTTTGTGAACAGACTAATGGCTCCAAGTGATGTGGAGCAGCAAGCCCTTGCTGTTGATTCAACTAACGTCTTCGAAGTGCGTTGCAGTGACGATCGAAGTGAGTAGGACGAAGCAATGGAAGCAAAAATCTAGAATCTAATTGAGAACGAGACTTTTGTGGAGATACCGCTACCTACAGGTCGCAAAGCGATCAAATCCCAATGGGTCTTCAAGAAGAGAATCAATCCTGACGGCAGTCTTGACAAGCTCAGGGCTAGAGTGGTCGCAAAAGGCTTCTGTCAACGATTTGGTGGCGACTACACAGCAACGTTCAGCCCGGTAGTGCGTCATAGTACAATACGACTGGTGCTGGCTGTAGCGGTAGAGTGACGCATGAAACGACGACAGCTCGACATTTAAACTACTTTTTGAGCTCAAAGTTGCGAGGGGAAATTTATCTGGAACCCGTGGAAGGATACGAAAAACATGGATGGCTACGTCTGGCTTCTCCGTCGCGCGTTGTATGGTTTAAAACAAGCATCGAGGGCATGATACGAAAACTGGACAGCTTTTCTTATCAGCTGTGGGTTTACCCAAGGCAAAGCTGACGCGTGTTTGTTCGTGAAAATTGACGGTGATGAGCTGATGATTGTGCTATTTTACGTCTATGATATATTGGTGTTCGGCACGGATGACAAAGCATTGACAGTGTTCAAGTTCGCCGTGGAAAATGCCTACGATGTGAACCATTTTTGCAGGATTTAGCTACTTCTTAGGATTGAAGCTTCAATGGTCTCCGGCTGGTGATGAAGTGAGCATTTGTCAGGCTAACTACGCATCCAGTGTACTAGAAAGGTTTGCAATCATCAAGTGTCGACCTTCGCCGACTCCAATGGAAGAACACTACCGGAACCGATGTTCCAAGCGCAGGAGCCGTGTGTCTTCAAGCCTCGGTCGGCACTCGGTGTTTTACTGTACTTAGCCGTACTAACAGGACCGGATCTGTCCACCACTGTGCGCTGGCTGGCCCAAGAACCCGGGATCCCAACAGCAGCTGTGCAAAAAGGGATTGATCGTACATTTCAGTACGCATGATTTCGGACTGACGTTTAGCGGTGTAAAATCCAGTAAGCATAAAGATCTCATGGTATACTGTTATGCTGCTGTCGCTGTTGAAAGGGAGCGCAAGTCGTCAACTGGTTACGCTATCTATTACAATGGCAGTCTGGTTGATTGGGGCTCCAAGAGACAATGGTAACGCTATCATCGACTGAATCAGAATACGTTGCTATGGCAAGTGAAGTCCAGGAATATATCGGGCTCATGATGGTGTTGAAAGATTTGGGGATCAAGATTGGCGAAATCGTCGCTCTGGAGGACAACCAAGGCGCGCAGTATCTCGCGGAAGGCAAAGGCGTGACTCAGCGGTCCGTCATATTGACACGAAGTATCATTGGTTAGGAGAAAAAGTGGCGAGTGGAGACGTGCGGGTATGCTAGTGTCCTACCAGCGAAATGGTGGCGGACCATTTCACGAAGCTCGGCAGAACGAAGTTTGAGCGTTTTCGCAGCGATCTTTGTGTTCGTCGAGTGGGAGTGTTGGGTTCGCAGCAATGAGCGACGAAAATTCCCATAGCTGACTACACTGTAGTCTACAGCCACTTCTAAGGCAACACAAGTCGACAAATATAGGGTTGTACAAGAATGTTGAGGTTCACAACTGGTCACGTATCAGCCCCGGGTCATCAAATGGAGATTCAATGAGCAGCAACGTGGGGCTTCCAAAAGTGTCGTCTTGGGGTACATATAAGGGAGTGCAGGCTCATGATGATTGCACCAAGTATCTGTTTTTTATTTTTTAAGCTAAGCCCTACATCAATCCTTTTTCAACTATTCTTCTTGGTCTCACTCCACCTTCTTCACTTTATCCTCTCCGACACCTACTTCCTCTATAACACCTTTCTAACAAATTTGAATAAAAAGGCGCATATTTTCTAGTAACGTAGAGCCGAAATCAACTCCCGTTTTGGACTTTATAAAACTGAGGTGACATTAATGATATTCCCCTCCCTTCCATTTAGTCACTGTATGTCTACTGTAATGTAATGGTTTACGTGTTCGCGTAGCCAAATTATGCCTGTGCTAGACTCAGTTTAGCTAGTCGGCGGCATAGGGTGGTGTCCGCATACGTCGAGTCTCCAGTCGCTGGTAGCGTGTCGATGATAGCCGTGGTAAGTTTTTTCCACTTTGGTCGTATAGAAGCAAATTTGCGAAGTTGTTCAAGATTGTGGGCGCTGCGAAGTCTGAGACCGCAGCCACTTGCGAGGAGGTCTGCGTCGAGAACTAGAGGAAGCGTTGTGCGAGGTCGGTCGCGCCACTTACCTGCGGTACTCGGAGCAAAGTAGGCCTGCATTTGTACGGAAGCTGGAATGTCGGGGCGACGTAAAATGTGACCGAAGAGTCCCCATCTTGCCGCCGTGATACGATGTCGTAGGGTCGTTCTCTGCTGATCTCATAGAGGGTAGCATTGGCAATTCGACGCGGGTAGCGGATGTTCAGGACCTTGCGTAGTTGTCGACGATGAAAGCTCTCCAGATGCAGTAGTTCCGAGGTTGTCAGCGCCCATGTTCCGCAGTTGTACAAGAGAATCGGGAGCACATAGCAGTTGTAAAGACGAATCCTGGTCGCGTCCGTTGATATCTGGGACCGGAGCCATATCGTCCAGAGGCGTCGTAGGGCAGCCGCGGCAAGCGTCTTCCGTCGGGCCAGGTCTTCCGAGTCTCCGAGTAAGGATCCGAGCTTTCGGGCAGAGCGCCATCGTTCTTCTGCTGCTCTTGTTCGAGGAGTGACGACGGATCTGGGTGATTTCGGTCTTGAAAACATTCATCGTGAGTGACCAGCGGGCGAGAATTCCTGGTACTTGATCAAGGATCACTTGGATAGTGGCTTCGTCTGGACAGATAAAATCAGCGTCGTCGGCGTACACTACCATCTGCTTTAATAGGCTGTAAGATACATCTAGTTCACTAGCTAATTCACGAAGAGCTGCCTTAAGGTAACAAACAACACGGGGGATAACGAGTCACCTTGTGGAGTTCCAGTGGTGCTGGAAAAAGGGGCCATCGTCCGGCGTCCTGTTCGAA